TTGGAGTAGCCAGTGGCATTCTGCGTGAACTAGCCCGACCCACTGTGACTAAAACAGAGCTCAGTTTGAAAACTAAGCTCTCGATATTCAAGACGATCTTTATCCACGAAGCGTGGAACATTACTGAAAAACTTCGAACCCGCTACATGCTACTGAAATGGGCTTTCTTACACGAGTCCCTGGCCTTACGCGTCTCGACATGGTCCGGAAGAGTGACATCCGGAAGAGCCTTGGTATACAGCCTTTACTTCTCCAGATTCAGAAGTCATAGCTGTGATGGCTTGGGCATGTGTTGCGAATGACTTCAGAAAGGAAGGCTAAGCAACTCTTTCTTGCCAAACCGACCGGCGGAAGGCCCAGGGGACGGCCAAGATTAACCTGGTGCAAATATATGGAAGGAGTCTGTTCCAGACTTAGTTGTCTTCTGCCGAAGTCGTCCTCTGGCGAAGGATCGGGAACGTCGGAAGCTCTGCGTGACGCGTCTTCCTCCGCAACTCGAAAGGAGAAGCGGCGATGGAAGATGAAGAAGCTTCGCATCCGTGCGTTTGAGGCAACACGTTCTTACCCTTGGGCGTTTCAGAAGGGTCAAAAGGGTAAACTATGCTGCTGGTGTCTATTAAACAGAGCTGGCATGCTGTCATAGCATGATGCGAAAATTCTTTCGAAATTCAATCAGCATATGAAGGACAACACATTGTCGAAATCACATTCAATAGGAATTTGCGCTGCTAAATGTTCTCCATGTTTACAGCCTCTGAATCAAAAAATCCTTCGCCTTTCTCCGCAGTTTTTCCTTCCCGCAAGCTTTAAGGCAACAAAAACCCGAAACTAATCACATTCCATAATCCAAAGTGTGTTACATTTCGCAACCCTTAACATTTCATTTTAATATTTACCTCAAGTCATTCGTCGGTATTTCTTCCAGTTCTTCGTTATCGCTGAAAGTATTTCTCACCGAGATTTTTTTCGTAAGCTTTTCTAACTTTAGTATACTGTCCTCTACTTCCGTCTATAAACAAAAAATCGATTAATGTATATCCGCTTTTAAGCTCATGAACAAATTATATGATTAACAAAACTACAGCAAAAAATAATCATTCGTGATTTCAGAATTTGATTTTGGTTCTGCACTAAGCAACTTATCTTGTGCGTGATGTACTGATTCAATGAAATTTACGCGCAAGGCTAGGGTTTTACAATAGCCTTCAAGACAGCTATGGAATCAATTCACTGATGATGCTTTCTGCATCAGTATCGGTTTTAAGAAAAGTCTTGCGTCACGTCTAAAGCCATTATCTTGCGAAAAGGAAGGGTCCAATGACAATGAGCTCAGTATCGAACGCCGGCGGTGTTCGGTACAACTCCTTAGGAGGGAAAGTGTCTTAACTGTAAATTCGACTGAGTAAGAAAATTAACGCAAGTTTGCTTCGGTGCAACCAAACGATAAACAGGAAGCAAGATGTTGAACTGTGAACGCAAGGGGTAGAATGGTGTTCCAATGTGGTTCTACCGAAACTGGCGATGCTGTCTCATGCGAGAGTCTTATACGGCTGCAATTCGATCTGAGTTACGTTATAGATTACCCTTCAGTGACATAAGCAGCAGAGATTGTAACCCTGTTGCTGTAGTTTGTACAGAGAAGTTCTGAAGAAAGGCATAAGCATGTCTTGGCCTTCATAGTACCAAAATGTCTACACCTCATATGAATTTCACTACAAAAAATGCCAAAGTTTCGAATCCAACTGGATCTCACTTCAAGGGACATAATACAAAGTACTAGATGACAAACAAAGCAAATACACTTAAAAAAAGTTCCCAATGTTGCTCTATACTGTGCAATGACCTTAAAGTAGCATCGGAACGGTCGACAAATTATTAATACGTACCACAGTGAAAGCGGACTACAGAGCCTATAATATATAATCTAGGATAAATTCAACAGATCTGTTATACACGAAGTGATCCAACTAGTTCATAAAAATGGCAAAAAGCACTGCCAGCGGTTAAGTCTGAAGCTCACGACGGTTCTTCAGAGTAGACCTAGACCTTGACTATTATTTAGAGATTTGATCCGATGCTGATATCTAAATCAGAATGCCTTCGTGCCTGCAGTACACTCACAAGTCATGGGCAACTTCTGGACAGGCTTCACGGATTAAAGAGTTTTCATTTATTTGATCTTTCGAATTAAATCAAAAAATCAAGAAAAAGAAACTTTCGCACAGCAACAAAGTACTTTAAAAAATAATACCGGTAGAATTTGACTAGTTTCCGACTTTTCGAGCAATGTCAAAACGCTACAAAGTTCTTCATGTAAACTCCAACTTCCTTGAAATTCGCTGCCACGCGAGTCTTGGCTCATTCTGCCAAAAACCTTAAACAGAAAATACGCAAATACATAATCATACAACAAATAGTACGCAATGAAAGCCTTAAAATCCGAAATATCAATGACAGTATTACCAAATTCTTCAACAAAACAACTGACTTATGAGCGATATTTAAATCGAACGAATTTTAAGTTAAAGGCAAGGTTTCAGCGTTAGACATAAAAGCACTTTATGGAAAGAATGGCCCTGCTCCTCCATGAGACGGTCACCTTCCATGGACATGCCTTTCAAAAGGTGACAACAAGAGATAGCCAATATATCTGAATCTAGTAGTTCCCATCTGCAGCTTACCTCGGTCAACCTTCCATGTGCATTTGCTAACGACTGAAGCTGCCGTCTCGCTAAGGCAATCCTGGCCACATGCCCGAAAAATTCTTGTGTAAATCATTCTTAAAATATTCTATATTACAAGGTTACAGTCCTCCTACTAACGTTTTAACCCCTAACTTTCTATTCACATACCCTGAGAATCATAACTGCAGTGTTAATCGGTCAGTAATTTTATGAAAAACTTTTATGCAACCGTTTAAAAACTGTCGCATAAAAATTTTATTTACAAATATCAGGAAAATAAGGTTCTATTTCCTTTCAATAGCAAGCTACATTTTGCGTTACGAAGCCAATGAAACACAGAGGACTTCATTTCGATTTGTTAGGGACAAAAGAAAATACGACGTTCGAAGTATCTTGGAAAAACAGGAACAAGCCGTGAGTTTATACTAAGCGTCATATTAAACCTATGAGGAGCTCAATGAATCATGTATCTGAATGCCGGAGAAAATCTTAAAGCTTTTTAACTGCAATGAATGATTTATATAACCTAAAACGAACTGTCCAACGCGTTTACGATCTAACTAAGTTCCTATCTCTCAAGCTCATCGACTCCATCGATAAGGGCGATGAACCGAAAACGACTTATCTTAGGATATCACAACCTACAATTTTTCGATTCAAATATAACGGGAGAGGGGCAACAAAGTAAGGCAAAGGCTAATACGCAGAATCTAATACTACTTTCTTTACATGAAGCACCGACAGAATGAACAATTTCGCCAAATACTATGAACTGTTCTAATCATGCATTTGACAATCCTACGCGATTGAATCAATATGCGTGTTCATCCTGTTTGCGTGATTCTGTAGTGAGTGGGCATACTCGACTGATATATTGCCCATCATGACATTTCTCACAGAGACAATTATTTTGAGCCAAACTCGCCACTTTACTAATATCGACAATACAGTGATACACACCTAAACTTCATGAATGAACGAATCAGCAACCCTGGAAAGAAAATATCAGGAAAAATGCTTAATAAACACCTTTGAAGCTAAAATCATCGCACAAGTCCTCAAAAAGCGCTAGTAAAATGTATCATTCCCTACGCATTTCAACAAACACCTTCACAGAAATGACAGATTTTATGAAGGGTCCACGCAAAGTTTCGCAAACTGATTGAAAAGTATTTGTTTTCACGGATCAGACACAGCGCATGAGCATTAATGCAAAAGTAATAATCAATCACAATGCATGGTAGGCGCATGACAAACCATCAATCAGAAGCAAAAATATTTCAGATATTCTGAAGTGAACACCAAATCGATCATTTAACATGACCTCAAATTAACAGAACGAAATTTACTACGTTATAATACACATCATTCAGCTGCACATCACCTGTTGAAACTATGTTAACATTTCAATACAATCTGTTTTAGATCATGAAACCGAAAGGCCTCATCTTATAAAGTTTAACCAGAAAAACAAAACTTTTATGCAGAAAATTTCGTATTTAGCAAAATTTTTTAATATCATGAATGATTCGCGCCATTTCCCACCATGCAAGAACCTTTTTAACCTCTTCGAAAAGGGCATACTGAGTTAATAAAGTTCATTTGCTTGCATAGCCGTAATACAGTTTTCTTTCTCTTTGTTTCTTATTTCTTATTTCTTTCATCATCGCCAACCTTTTCCCACTTTATTCCCAAATAATTTCTCGCTTTTCTCCGATATCTTGAAGCATTTCGACCCACCTGGAGAAAATCATGCGTGCCGAAACACGGACACCATTCTTCGCGACTTCTAGTGTCCTCCCCTTAGCCCCCTACAACCGCAATCTACTCAGCTCATGAAGTAGTCTCCCCATTGTCGTGGAGGGCCACCGAGCGGCTAAGTCTGCTCGCGAGGATTCAAGTCGGCAATCACCACCGACCATACCTCGTCGGTGAGCAGAGCAAAGCGGGCCACCCACAGAAACTTCTCCCTTTCTACTTTCTACTACGACGTCTTTCACTTTTGTTCCCTGTCTGTTCACCGTCTTGGGGATATAGTCCTGATATCACAATCCCAACATTGTTCTTTCCACGGCTCTCTCAGTGATACATATTTCAAGTTTTCTGATCTTTGTGATATTGATTACGTCTAACAGTCAAACATTAACGTCAGAAAAGAGGGTTAGGTTCAACACGTACATTCTCTGATGTTGACTAGGAGGACGTCCTCGATGAAATTGATTGTGCCAAGCGGCCGTCTTTGCCCGTAAAATTTATCTTCACTGTTCACGTCGCATATCGATCTCATAGCAATGCAAATGTATTTATAGAGTGCTTGAAACTTCCTGAAGTTAAATACAACAGAAAAAGGAAATATATGGAAAACTTGGCTCCAATATGCAAAATTTACCAAATATACTACATTTACTCAATCTCCAAGCCATTTCCTTTAGCCTCTTACGGATTCTCAAACAATCGAATTTTTCAACTTCCTGCGAAGTGCCTCAACACAGTTTCAACTTTTCACATTAAAAATTGCCTATATGTCACTGTCTAAAATTACTTCATCTGTTTAAATTCATGTATTCTTGTGTATATTCTGCAGGACTTACTTAAAAGATGATTATTCGTTCGAAAGACAATAAGACTGAAAAAAACGTTCTCTTGTCGATGCAATGTTCATAACGATTTTTCTAAAAAATTCTATCTCACTTCTACCGTATGGCATGTAGCACATAAATCGCTCAATGGTATTTTTATCAAATGGCTACACTGCAGCCGATGTAGCTATTTTATTGCATAAGGTGTGGAAAAGCGGATCGCCTTTCCTCGTCGCGGTGGGCGCAGATCCGACAACAATCACTGATACGTTGTACTGCTTGCACCTCGTCATGTCAGAGAATGACCATTTCCTCAGTCAATAGAGAAAAATTCTTCCCAATTATGCCTTGCAAGAACATAATTTAGCGCAGTACGGGAAAGCAGAAGTCTAAACTCTCCTTGTCGGGAACTTCAACTAGAACTTCGTCTGGAACCTCACGTCGGGGATAAGATTCAATCCAACGGCAGTTAATTACCTTGTCTTCATCTACTAGAGAAGTACCGTTAGACTTAATCAAAGCAGTTTATTCGTATGGAGACTAAACTGAAACCATCTATTATTAAACGGATGAACCTCTTTGAATCCAAGCACACATGAAACGCTTCTCCTGACAAAATTAAATGCGGACTTTCATCAGCATCACAAATCAAAGTTGAGTGTAACCTACCTATTTTCAGTAGGACCACCGAACCACGAACCAAATATTCAACAATATGTCATCTATAATCCACTTCATGTTCGAATCATATTGGTCAGTCTAAACGATATCCTAATGCTAATGCAAATACGGTAAGATAAATTAGCCGTGAATAATGTAGTCTTCTATTTCATCCAGTTTTATATTAGTAAGTAATGGCAGCTAGTCACATACACAGCTTTACATGCAATTTTTCAGCACTACAAACTTTTAGTAGAAACGTCCACAAAATCGTTGGCTGCATTCTTCTCTGATTTACTTCATAAATACACAGTACTTGTACATAGAAAATACAAAACATTGTCATTTTACCTCTAATTGGCGATAAAAAATTTGAAAAAATCAAAAGATACACTTTCCACTTACGGTTTATACTTTACGCTTAACTGCATCCAGCCAGATGAGGCTATTGTAGGAAAAATCGCAAAAATGAAACGCAAGGGTTAAGACAGCAAGGCGATAAATATTTATTTCGGGGGAGAAACGGCGCAATTCGTTAATATTGTATTTGCTTTGCATTTTGCATACGATGCCGGTTGACATCCAAACCACGGTGTACATTTTTCTCATCAATCATTTATTACCATGAGAAAGGAATTCACCCTAAACTCCATCAGTGCAACAAGCCGAAGATGGGGTACAAAGTTGATGACGAGAAAAGGTACAGCACTAAGTCTTGGTAGGATATGGCCAAGCATGCGAGATAGCACGCATTAAGTATATGCTTTTCACACGTACGCACTGGTCAACAATCAACACAGTGTGGAAACAGAAATATAATTTAATGACGACAGTAAAACACTATGATATCCCTATGGTTGGCAGGCGAACGACTTGAAACCTATGTCTCCGACGGATGCATGGAAGCACAGTGGACTACATTTCGTAATGGATGTTATAATTTAAAAAACTGTGTTGGGTGGGGAATACATTCAGCGTTGAAACTTGTCAGCAAAACCTTTATCCGCTGCGCCAGTGGTCACAGTACTACGAAACAATTTTTAAAACGAATAAACAAACATCTCTCAAACATACCATGAAGTGGGCCAAACTGAAACTACTGAAACTAACAGTACCTCCTAAGGGAAAGCCATAAAAGATGGTGTCATCACAAGCACAAACTATGATCATCACTGAAATATGCCAGAGGCACTAAAGGTGACTGGTGCAAAATTCCTAATTGACATGGCAAGCAAGATCAGTACACGGGACAGATAATAAGATAGGACATGTGTATTTATTCGGAAACCGTAAATCAACGCACTCGCAACACTTCTCTAATTAAAACAATAGTTACTACAGCCAACCGTTACACTATTTATGATTTACAACTACACCAATATATTAACAAATAACCATTATTATATACACAACGCGACGACCTTACCGTACTCTTACTG